TCAAAATCTCCTAAATCTTATTAAAATAAATAATAATAATAAGGAAATGAAGGTATTTACAGCATAAGTTTATCAAATAATATTAATAAATCAATAGAAATAAATAATCCTCTTTAATAGAAAACAAGCCAATATAATAACTAATAAATAACAAATTATTTTAATAAAAAAAACCAACAAAAAAAGTAATTTAACACAATAAGTAATAATGATATAAATAAAATAAAATTATAAATTTAAGTTAATAAAAATAGATATTAGTTTAATAATTCAGATAATAACTTTTAAAAATGTATTGATTAATATAAAACATACAAAAATTAATAGAATAATTAAAACACAAATAAAATAAGTAATGTTAATGTAAATACTAAAAAATAATATGTAAAAAATAATAATAATAATAATAATAATAATAATAATAATAATGATAATATTTATAATAATCTCAATAATTAAAATTAAAATATTAATGAAAATCATAATACTAATAAAAGTATAAATAGTATAAATAGCATATATGATAATTTTAATATTTCTAAAGCGACAAATTTTTTGAATTAGATTTTATCTCCTTAAAATTCTAACTAGTAGAAATCCTTTATATTTCAAAATGATAAAAATAATTTTTTAAATTAATAGGATTCTTTATATAATACTGCAATATCAAACTAAACTCTCGAAACAACTTAAAATTATGAATAATCTATTGACATAAGATCGAGTTCAAATTATATAAAAAGTTTTATAAATAACAGCATTACAGAAATGTGTAAAGAACAAAAGTAGAATAATAAATATTAAAATAATTATAATACTTATATTAATTAGGACAATTAATAAAATTTTAATAGTTTTCCAAATTATAATAATTCGCAAGGCAATAATAATTCTCAAAATTAATTTTGTTACGATAGAAATGTATTAAATTTAACAAATAATTTAAATATTTAAAATTAAACAATTTTTGTTGTAGGAAATAATAATAATCAAACTACTAATTACAATTAAACTTATTTTAGCTAAGAATGCGATTTAAAGCCTTTAAATATAAGTATTTTGCCTAAAATTTAAGATATCAATAATTATATGAGTACAAGTAGAATAGAAAGCGTAAGTTAAGTAAAAAATGAATATGTAGAATAAAATAGAGATATGAATAGAAATAATAATTTTAATTTTGATAAAAATAATATTTTTATTAATACCAAATAATGCTAAAGTAATAACGAATCATAATTATTTAATAATAGAAATTCTAGTTAAATATATATTTCTAAAAATTTAAATAAAGATAATTGCTTACCTTCAAATATTTAATAGTTTGAATCTAAAATTTGTGTCCTTAAAACATTTCAGTAAAATAATACTATAAATGATATTAATCTTCCTTCACAAAAAATATTTATTAGTAGTAATAAAATGCAGAAAACACCATAAACGTAATAAAATGTAAAATAAAAATAAGAAGATAATGTTCAATATAATTTTTCTTTCTCTAATTGTTTAGTTTTACCTTAATAATAAATCTAATAATAATCATAATTTTAGAATAATCAAGAAGATGATGAAAAAATAAAAAAAAAATTTTAATAAATAATTCAATAAGAAATCACTATTTCAACTTATGAAAGATTAAATAATAATATATGGAATATGTCTAATTTTTAAATTGGAAAATGTTTAGGAAGAGGCCGTTTTGGAAGTGTTTATTTATCAAGGTTTTTCATATTTATATTTATAATAATGTAAAAATTTATTTATATTTTATAAAAAATAGATATAAACCTACAAACATGCTTTTAGCTATAAAATAGATAAGCAAAAAGAACTTAGTATAAAGTTGTATGGAACACCAACTTTAATAAGAAATAAAAATATAATCGTTTATAAATCATCCTAATATATTGAAAATGTATGGGTTCTTTAGTGATGAACTTAATGTATATCTTCTATTAGAATTATCTTCTCACGGAAATATTTAAAAAGAAATAAAAAAAGAAGGATTTTTAAAAGAAAAAAAAGCAGCAATTTATATAAGATAAATTTGCGAAGGATTGCTTTATTGTCATTCATAAGGAATTATTCATAGAGATATAAAACCTGAAAATATACTTAATTGTTTTGGTGTTTTAAAAATTAGCGATTTTGGTTGGTCTATCTATACAGAAGAAAAAAGAATGACTTTTTGTGGGACTTTAGACTATGTTTCTCCTGAAGTAGTTTCGGGAAAAGATTATGATTTCAAAGTTGATATTTGGAGTGTTGGAGTTTTAACTTATGAAATGATTACTGGTATTTTTCTATATTTAAGTTAATTTTTTATAAATATTATTATTTTAGGAAAACCACCATTTGAAAATGTTCTCAATTAACATTAAAATAATTAATGTAAATTTAATGTAAAATAATATTTAAATATCATTAATTATTTAATCTATTTAATTATTTATAGTTAAATTGCAATTTTCCTTAACATATTAGCGAATTTGCTTAAAATTTTATTAAATAATTATTGGTTGAAGATCCTAATAAAAGAATATCTATAGAAGAGGCATTGAAACATGAATGGATTGTTAATAATACTAATAATTGCCTGTCTGATTGGGATAATAATGTAAGTGAGTAATGTATAAAGCTTTTTAAATGAATTAAAGTTTTGTAAAAAAATAATTAATTATTAATATATTTTATATGGATTTATTTTAAAAATTTTATGAAGGAAATTATTAAATTAAGATCATTAAATTTAATTGGTTTTGAAAAAATAAAATATTAATAAATAAATAAAAAAAAAAAAATATATATGTCATATTTATATTTTATTTGAAACATAAATATTTTTTAATAATATTATGATTAAAATTTATATTGTATGTAATTTTTTTTAGACATTTCAAATTTATTGAAATTCATTAAAATTAAAAAAATATTTATATTTATATTAAATTTAAAGACTAAAGATATTATTGAATAAAAAAAAATTAATTTAAAAAATAATAAAAATATTAATGTGGAAAATAATTTAATTAAAGTTGATTTAATTATAAATTTTTTAAAAAATACAATAATTTTAAATACTAGTAATTTTTTATTGGTATATCTATCTATAGGCAATATAGGCTAAACATAATTTTATTTCTATTAATATATATTTTTAACATATTTTATAAATATTGAATTTGATCCCATAAATAAAATGAATATATAATCTTTTTTAGATTTTAAAAAATTAGAATACTCATAGCAATATCTTAAAAATAAAAAAATAATAGGAATATTTTAAATAATATTATCAAAAAATAAAAAAAAAATTAATAATGTTCACGTAATTTAATGATAAAAGGTATTAAAATAAAAATATATATAATTCTAAATGAAAAAATATTAGGAAAAATTAAAAAAAAAAAAAATTTAATAGTTAAAAGAATAAATTGCAATAAATTAGATATTATTAATGGATAAAATAAAATTTAAAAAAAAAAAAATATATATAATAAAAAAAAATATATAATTAATAAAATTGAATAATTACTAAAAAAAAATTGGAGTATAAAATAAAAGATTAAAAAAAATAAAAAAAGTTTTATAATATTAAAAAAGTATAATAAAATATATATTATATTATATTATATTAAATTATGATACTGTAAATATATATATATATATATTTTTTTGAAAACTTATTTGCATCTATTTTTAATTATTATTTTTATATTTTTTTTTTTATTTTTATATTTTTATTTATAGAATTTTTCATTTATTTAATAATTAAATATAAATTTCTTATACTATTTTTATGAAAATTCTTTTTAAATTAAAAATATACATTTTTAATTTTAAGTCAAAATATTATATAATAATTTATTTTTTTAATAATATAGCACATAAAAATTTCTTTACACACAAATATAAGGATATACTTTATATTTAAATATAATTTTATAATTAAAATATTATTGTTATTAAAATTTAAAAAATTATTTTTACAGATAATTTTAATAATATTACATGTTCATGTTATATTTTTTAATTAAAAGTATTTTTATTATATATATATTATTTCCTTATTCAATTATTTTTAAAAATTCAAAAATATTCTTTTTAAATATAAATTTTTAAATATCTCTTAATGATTCAAATATATAAATGTAAATTATAATATATAAACCTTAAATTTTAATTTTTATTTTTTTAATTTTATTTCTTCTAAAATTTTTCAAAAATTAGAATTAAATAATAATAATATTTAAAATAATAAATATAATATACATTTTAAATTAAATCAATCTATTAAAGTATATTAAATGATTCACCTAATTTAGCTTTAAATAAATATAAAGTTATATTGAACTTTAACAGTATATAAGATAATAATGTTAATTAGAAAATTAAAAATTATTTAAATATATAAAAAATGTTATTTCATATGTAGAAAAGTCTTTAAAAGTATAAAATGATATTGGTTCTATAAGTTAAACAAAATAAAAAAAAAATGAATTTAATTAAATAGCTGTTTAAAAAAATATATTTAGAAAATACAAAAAAAATAATTAATTTTAAACTTATTGCTTTAAATTCTAAAAAAAAATATAATTGATTAAAAAATTATTTTTATGATAAATTTACAACAATAAATACGCTAAATTAAAAATAAGAAAGTTATATTCTTAAAAAATCAAAAGATAGATAATAAATTTAACTCTTTAGAATTATAAAAATTAAATAAAAAGTACTTTTAGTATTTTTAAATAAAAATATCTATATAATTTTTAAAATTAAAATTTTATAAAATAAAATTAATAATAATAAATAATTGATATATATATAATAAAAATTCTATATAATAATTTTTGATTAAAAAAGTATACAATATAAACAAAAAAATAAAAATTTAATAAAAATATCATTCAAAATTAACAATTAATATAATAGAATTTGCTATATTTTTATTGCAGTTTTTATTTTAGAATGCAGCATAAAGTAAACCTACAGGCAAATTATTGAAAACTTATCCTTTAGGATGAGTAGGAGTATTAATAATCATAGTATAGTTATCTAAATCTAAACAAACTTTAACCTTAAAATTTTATCTGTGCAACCCATAATTAATAGTACTACCTATAATATTTATTTTTTTTCCCATTTTATTACTTACTCCAATAATAAGACAAGCAGTGTCATCTTCACCGCAAGAGTGTGAAGAAACAAGAGCATGTATATCCCAATATATTTTTCCAAAAGAATAAGGATATGAGGATGTTGTTATTCCTGCAGTTTCATATTGAATTATGATTTTCTTATCTTTTCTGTTAATTTAAGCACAATCTGATATTTCTATACTTTATAATTATTGAGTTATAATACATTATATATCACTCCATTCCCCTTATTCCCCTTATTCATTTTTATCATTTACTGTACAAACTCTAATTCTGTATGTAGTTCTTTTATTTTTAGTTTATGTATATTATATTTTTTTTTTTTTACTTAGGTTATAATTAATTTATTATATGATACCATTACGGACCTTCATATATCATTTTAAATTACTCGAATCCTCCTATTTTTATTCCTATTCCATATTCAAGTCTATAATTAATTTTAGATTATATATAAATTGAATGATTCCATGTTAAAAAAATAGAATTTTATGTCGAAAAAAACTTTTAAAAAACTCTTTTTTAAAATGGTTCATTTATAAGTTCTTAATTTTGCAAAGATAAAGCAGTTTATTAACATAAATTATTTAAAAAAAACTTATTTATAAAGATTCTAATGATCTGATATGGAAACTTATTAACTTTAAAATTCATTAGTAATATTATTTTTTTTGCGTGAACTATGTGATCTTTTATTAGGAGTTGTTAATATTTAAGTTTTTGTGCAAATTTAAATTAAATTTAATGTTTTCTTTTAGCAATTGTAAGATTAATCTCTTTATTTAGGAGTAACTGAATTTTATATTTTTTAAATGTTTTTTTTTCTTTCTTATTTTAATTCAGAATTGAGTTTTTATTAAACAATTATTGGTTTCTTCGATTCAAAAACAAAGGAAGAATTAGCTAAAATCATATTTTGTAATTAATCTATTTTGTGATTTTTTACATATTCTTTTTATTAGATTTATTAATTTTCAAGAATATTTTAATTTATTGAAAAAGAATGTATTTTATTTTAAATGTTACTCGTATTTATTATTTAAATATTCATTTCTGAATTATTTTTTATGTATTAATATTATTTTTTACTAACATTTTTTTAAATCTTTTATTATAATTCAGCTGGTTCTTAAATTTCTTGTTAGCTTACTAATGTATGATTGTTATTATTAGTTTAAGGAAATATATTATTACTTTATTATTAAACCGATTACTATATAAAAAGAGAATCCGCCTAATTTTTTAAAAAATTGTTTTGATTAGTTATATCTTCTAAATTATTTTTTATTGATAATTGCAAAATTTACTAAACTAGATTTTAACAATTTTATAAATATTTGTTATCGTAAATATTAGTAGAAATATCTAATTTTTTTGTTCAGTTTATTTATGCCATTGTTTCTTTACTTTTATTGATTAAAAAATTTAAATTTTATTTTATGTTTATTTTTTCTTCATTTTATTTTTATTATTATTACTGGTTTATTAAAATATAGTTTATTATATCTTAAGTTTTATTTAAATTATTTATTGTTTAATTATTAATATTTAGAATATTACAAAGCTCATTTTTGTCTTTTGAGAAAGAATGTTCAACAATATTTAATATTTATTTTTATTTTTATAAAAGAAGATTATTTAAATGATTAAAAATTTAATTTATTTAGTCTTTATTTTGCACTATTTATCCAGAAATTTCATTCAATTTTTATTTATAAAGATTATTTTCTCCTTCAAGTAATTAAATATATATTTATATATTTTCAAGATTTTCTAATATTTCCAAATCTTGAATTTGATAATTTTAAGATATGTGATTTTATTATTAAAAAGTATTTGTTAATAAAAATTAATATTTTTTTATTTGATGATATTAATATGTTCCTATCTAATGTATTTAACTTGAACAATCTATGCATAATAATTTATTTTATCCACATTAATTACAGATAAAAAAATAATTTTCAGAATTATTTTTTTAACATCTTTCACACTTTTTTTCTGTTTGAATTTATTGAAAATCTATTTTTAAATATTTTAGATTTGCATATTTTAAATCATTATTACATTTTTAATATTTTTTTATTAGTGTTAAATTCTCATATTATGATTGATATGTTATACATTTTATACAAAATACTAAGTTACAGCACTCTGAATAATATATTTCAGTTTCTTATGACTATATAAATATTTTTTTCTAATATTTAATGTATAAATAATAATAAAATTTTATTATATTTTGTTTATTAAAATAAAACAAATATATTGATAACTAAAAAACAATAATCTTCAACCAATTTTAATTAATTAAAAATTAACAAAATAATCAATATATTATATATAATAAAAATTAGTAGATTAATATAACTAAATAAAATAATTTATTATATCTATTTTTTTTTGATTTTTTTAATAAATGATAAAATAAACTTATTTAATTTAATATAAACACATATATTAATAATTAATATATAAAAAAAAGTATATAAGTTCATAAAAAATTTTCATCTTCATCTTCTTATTTTTAAGAAATATTAATACAGTTTAATTCTCTTTTTAAGTCAGAAGTAAGAATATTTGATTAATTTGTAAATTCTTCAGAATTAGGATTTAATGGAATAATTTATGATTACGAATTTATATTCAATACAATACTTTTTTTTATTTCATTTAAATTTTATTTTACTAAATTTATTCTTATATAAGATTAATTTTTTATATTAAATTTATTTGAGAATCAGATAAATTATCTGGATCTTTTTATATTTATTCTTATAGCCTATTTAATTTATCTTAACTAATTTACAATATTTTCAAAATATTTAGATTTTCAGATTCTTCACTATCATCAACTTACATATTCTATAAATTTAAATGAAGTTTTTATCTTAATTTGTCAGGCAAATGCTAATTATTTTTGGCATAATTTTTATTATAATTTTTCACATAATCATATTATTAAATACTTTCGTTTCTTTATGAAGGTTTTCCATAAAATCCAAAACTACTTTCATCGGAATCATTAATAACTAAAATTAAATAAATATTTTTTTTTTTTAAAAAAAAAGTATACTTGAATTATCTGCTTCTTCCTGCATATTATTATAAAATATATTATTGGAATTAACTTTAAATTTTTTTTATTTTTAGAGAAATTATTCATATTTATTAATTGCGAAACTTGGTTTTATTTATTTTAGTTAATCATCCGAACTATTAATTTCCTAGCCTATAACTTCCTTATTATAAATTTCATTTATATTAATTCCTTTTTTTTTAATGGCTAAAAATAATTAAACCATTTTTTTCTCTTTTTATTTAATTTCATTAATATTTTTTTCTTATTCTATAATATAGTCTTTAAGCAATTCGTTTTCTTTATCAGTATCTACTTCTTATACTTTACCATTTTAATCACATATTTGAATAATTTAATTTTTTTCAGAATTTTATTTTTATTTTTCTGTTTGAGTAGTTTTAGTGCATTTTTATTTACTTTTTAATTCTTCAATTAAGCTTCGTTATTATTGAATTTTATTATCAAGCAATTATATTTTATTTTTATTATTTTAATTTAATTATATTAGGGTTTGTTATAATTAATTAAAATAAGGAATATATTATTTTATTTAAAATTTGAAATCATTGATAATTTCTGTTAATTATTCGAAATTTTCTACTTCTTTTATTTTATTACATATAATCTAGTTATTTTCATTAATTTAGATATTTTATATTATTTATTTTTATTTTAAATTAGTTATTTCTTATTCTTATATTAATTATTATTTTGATTAATTATTTTCTTCTAAAATTATTTTTTAAGAGCAATCTGATTAATATAATTGTAAACTCTATGGTATGCAGTGAGTAAATGAGTTAATTTTTCTATGCATTTATTCTATTCCTTCAGGCATGCCGTTTTAACTTTTTTCTATCTTTTTAAGTATAGGCTAACTATTTTATTTATTATTGTTACATAAAGATTTGTTATTTTTTAAAATCATGCTGCCTTTGTTTTTATAGCCCGAAAGTGATATATTTTTGCTTTAAATGCAAGTTAATGATTAATTATTTATTTGTGAATTATTTTCATTTAACTTTTTAGATTTATTTATATTTGTAGAACATTCATTTTAAAAAAAAATATTATTCAAGTTTATATTTGGATTATAAGTATTTAAATTTTTATTTTATAATACGAGGGATTAATTTGACTTGTTTGTTTGAGAATTATTTGTAATATGATTATTAACTATCAAGTTATTTGTTTCTATATTGCAATTATTTGATTAACTTACTTTTCTACTTAGTAAGGTTTCCTGTATTATATTAGGTTACCTTTATAATTTTTTATATTACTCCTTCTATATATTTAATTTTTTATTTATGTTTTCTTTTATAACTTCTATAAACTATGAAGAGTTTTATTTTTCTGCAAATTATGATAAAGCATTTACCTTTTAGTTATATATACAATTTTTTAAATATATAAATATATATTTAAATTCTTTACTTATTATTATTATTTTTGCTATATAATTTTATTATTATTTTAATTATATTAATTCTGTTTAAAATTGTACATATGTTTTTATTAGTTTATCTGGCTTAAAGGTTAAATATTTTTAGTACTATTTAAATTTGAATTTCCTGCGGAAGAAGTAGTTGATTAATTACATGATTTTAATTAATTTTATTTAAATAAATTATATAAAACATTGCTTATATGTTTTTGTTTTTTAATAGGTGAGAATTGCTTCATGTTACTATTATTATTAGTATTAAAATTTTGTTAATGGTTTTTATTTTAGTTATTTATATTAATTTCAGAGTTACTTTAATTATTTTATGAATTCTGATATTATTTTTAAACTTATTTATTATTTTATTTTTGTAATTATTTCTTATTACTTAGAGATCTTTAATTTTGTTTCTTTTTTTACACACTTATATTATTCTAATGTGAAATATTTATCGATTTAACATCCATGTTATTTATTTACTAAGATTTAAAATTCTGATTTAGTTTATATGGAATTATTGGAACTGGATTTATTATTTGTTTTAAGTTTATTAAATTTGATTTAGTTTTTTAGATATTTGTATTTTATTAATATTTAGGCTATATTATATTTCTTATATATATTTAATCTTAAGAATGGTATTTTCCATTACTATTATCTTTATTTTGTTATTTTAAATAATTATTAATCTAAACAAAATCTGAATCTATATTATTTTGAAATTTATTCATTTTTTTCAATTGTTTTATTATCTTTAATTAATATTTATAATTTTCGTATGTTTAAATTTTTTAATATATATAAAAAATAATGTAAATATTTATGTGATTTTTTTTTTTTTAAATATATACTTAGTGTTTATTTAATTAAATTTATATATTATAAATACACATTTTTCGATTTCTATTTCAAAACAAAACTTTTTAGTAATTTAAATAATATTATTTATTATGTAAATTTTCGATAAATAAATTATAATATCATTGATATATTCTAAAAAAACAAATAACACATATCTAATATAAAAACAGTTTGATTTCCTAAAAAAAATGTATATATGAGTATTTCTATACTATTCTAGAATAAAAATGTTCAAATATATGTTTATGATAGATAAAAATTTATAAATTTCGAAATATTTTTTATGGATTATTTATTTTTAAT